AAACTTGTCTGACCTTCTAACAGCAGAAGGGTTAAATGGCAGGTTGGGAAGTTAAATTGCAATACATGTTATCCATTTATTCTCTAATACTGCAAGGCTCATTGCTCTTGCCCTAAGTGTATTTGTTGCTGAAATACATTTTACGGGGGTATGTGGTAGACTAATCCAATTTAGTATATTGAGTAAAAAAAAGCAAGCGAACATAAAAAAAGATAAAAAATACAACAACAAAAAATACAAAAAATTCTCTGCAAAAACATGATTGTATAAATAGCCCGGAGGAGAGAATTTAGTTTAAAGCAGTTGTTGTATTTCATGTAATTGGCTAGTCTCTGTGACAGTATAAGGTATAGATATCATGTATTTATTTATTTTATATCATGTTAACTGTGTATAGATCCGGAAGCTATATTCGCCTAAAAAAAAAAAAAAGAAGCTGACTCTTCTACAAGCCGTGACACCAATATTATTTTGATTATTTCTCTTTTGGAATCAAAACATTAGGCCAATAAAGCTATGCGTAAGGCTATAGTCAATAATGTTAAGTTGTTTCTCTGGTTTGTTTCCTTTGATACCTTTTATTGAATGAACATAAATATTATATATAGATGTGGTTGCACATGACTGCATAGGTCCTTTGCTCAGATGTCACACTTAAATGCTTTTTAGTGTAGATAAATGGCTCATTTATCATGTGTCTAAGAGTGACCCATATGGTAAATTGGTACAATCTGTGCGTTGGTACACTGCCTCTGTTTATATAGCAAGACTGGAAGAGAATTAAAGTGCTGTTTTTTTTTTTTGCTAACCCTTACATTCAAGGATTCTGAAAAAAAGAAATGATTCCCCAATTTGCATAAACAGTGCCTTAGCTCAGACGCTGTAAGCATGAAAGTTTAATGCTAAAGTAAACATTATTTTATACATACAAATTTGGAAAGGGATTGGACTGATCACAAAGCTCATGGCCAGTGCCCCTCCTGGCCAGATTACATGTGTGTTACTTCATTTTCTTAGAGGGAACTCTAAGCACCAAAATCATTTTATCTTAACAAAGTGGCTTTGGTGCATTGATGCTGTCCATTTTTTCGTACAATGTAAAACATTACCATTTCTGAGATTTACAGACTGACAGCCATTAGAAGCTATTCGTCCTTAAGATTTTCAAAAATAGGTCTTTACATTCAACATTTTTCCCACTCAGCTTAATGAAGTTGAACGCGTTTAATATTTCCTGCTTTGGATTCAATGCTTCTATGTAAGAAACATTTGATTGTCAAAGTATGACTTCACTGGAGAGATGACTGTCCTGGAACTGTATTAAATTTTTTTTTTTTTTTATAATTATTTGTTTTTGTTGTGTAGGATAATGCGATGCTTAGATAGCTAAGTGGGCTAATGCATCATAAATAGAATCTGTTCAACCCTTGAGTTTCAGGTTTGAATCCCAGCAGGCTTGACTCATCCTTTCATCTGAGGTTGATAAAACGAGTACCATTAGATTGGGTAATAGTATCAACCCGTTGATGTTGGGCTTAGGTAACATTCCCAGGACGTACTTGAAAACCAGAGTAATTTGAATGTACCTTTCCCGGTTAAATACTTTGTTATTATTTAACACAGTACTAAAGGAGTTTAAGCATGCATGGGATAGGCATAAGGCTATCCTAACTATAAGATAAGTTTTTGTAATGAAAGTATTTAGAAAATTGGGCAGACTAGATGGGCCGAATAGTTCTTATCTGCCGTCACATTCTATGTTTCTATGACAGATTAGCCTGCAATACCCCAACAGGTACAAGATATAACATTTTTAGAAAAGGAAATATATTTAGCTAAGCATGCATGTTCAACTGTTTTGCTGGTAATAAGATTAAGAACATAGAGATATGTTAGGCAAGAAGAGTGTAAATAATAGTAGAACACCCATGAGGCCCCCATGCCAGTTATCTAACCTGTACTGCAGGTTCAACATAGCTAACTGGATCTATCAGGCTGTATGGACTGAATAAAAGGAAAAAGAAAAGAAGGACAATTACATTATGACATTTAGATGCTTCATGGGAAGGTAACAGTGTTATTCAGGGCAAAAGAGACAAGATCGTTGTGGTTCTACTCAGCCTATGCCCATAGCAGTTAGGTCACAGTCCCCAGAGGAGGTGTAGTGTTGCCAAGCTGGAACCTGGAGTGCTGTTGAAGTGTTGACAGGGAAGATTGGCAATCTTACAGATTCACTTTGTCCATAGGTCAGCCGCCAGGTCACCAATCTCCATGTTTCCTGCTTAGTTGACCGCTCGCTGGCTCCATGTGTGCTCAGTGTTTGCTTGCGCTTTGCCCTCCGCATAGCCCAGCCGACACAGCCTCCGCCATTTCAATCGCGGTGCTTGAGTTCCAGGAGTTGCCTGTTGACCAACAGTCAGGCGATATGGACTTCGGGGTGTGTGGGCAAACCCTGCTGCAGTTGCATGCAGCTTGGCTTTCAGTTTCCACCATAAGGCATTGAAGATAGCATCCAGGCTGCTAAGGGGAGAGGATGTCCCTCCGTGGCTGTCGGGTTTACACGTGGCGTCTGCCATTTTGGATTTGCCGTTAGAGGTATCAAAGCCTCCGAACTTCTTCAGGTGCGGGGAACTTCCAGGGTGTGCACCGGGATCACCCCTGCCGGTCCATAGGTGGGGTTGCGGGGCACAATTTGCATGTAGCAGTTTCCTGTCAATGCCAATTCGAAAACAGGCCCTAGAAGCATCAACTTGTTGCTTGTAATGACCACAGGAAGTGTGCCCAGGCCGGTCAGAAAGTGCAGGAGTGGTAGGTGATGGTGCCAGCCCAGGTTTAAGAGCCTAAGTTGCAGGTCAGATAAGATTATTCATTAATGTTTCAGGAGCTCTCTGGATATGCGTCCGAGAACCATGATGGTAAGGCCAAGCCCCCATATTAAATATTTTTAAAGGTTAAGCTCCTTTAAGTTTTACTGTCAAGCACATGACTTAATGAATCCCAGTTCTTTACAATTTGGGTTCATGGTTCAATTCATAGAATATATTTTCTCACTGTTTTCTGGACTCTGGTGTGGCAATTCTCAACCTTTTTCCAACCAGGTACTACCAGCAACAAAGGTTTTCAACCAAACACATGATTTTAGAATGAGCAACGTATGTTAACCAGTTTAAAAAGCAGAAACTTCAAGGAAATATGGCCATCTGTACATCTGGTCTATCTGCACTGATTGCAGGTTGCTTCTGAAAAAATCCTGAAAAGTATTGAGAAGCACAGCCCAGAGGTATGGACTTCATGATGACAAGTGAAAAAACAAATGTGAATTCTGGTCCTGTATGGCTCAGTCCTGAATCACTAAAGTACACATAGTTCTTCGGTAAAACAAAGATTGTGTGAAATTATGGAATTTTAAGGTGAGAAATACTTTAGTTCAGATAGAAAAACAACCAGAAGAAGCACTCTTTACAGCTTTTTGCAACAGACACAGTTCTTCCAGACTTTTTATATGACACTGAAAAAGGATGAGACATATATGACTCTTAATAATTACAAGTGGGGAGGTAATTGTGCAACAAACAGCATTGTGCAAATGTTTTTCTTTTGATCTGCATATGGCTCTTTATTCCAGAAAATGGTTTAAAGTGGTCAATCAATAGTGAAGTTTCAGTATGTATCAATGTTATGAACCTTCAATCTTTGTATTATCTTATAGTGTTACCTCTTATGGGGTCTATGACCCAGGTGATATCTGATGGAGATTTGTGGTGAAGCATAGGTAGAGATATATTCACATGACATTCTCCCCTCACATCACCACAAGTTCCCATTTTCTACTACTGGCAAATGAGGCTGACAAAGATACATCTTCATTATATTCTTATGAATTCATGTAAGTACAAAATATATATTTTTTTTATATGTGCATGAAGATACCATAGGTGTCAATTGGCATCTTGCGAGAAGTTGCATCAGCCATTGTGGATAACAGCTGCTGAGAAACAGAAAATCAAGGCAGATCGAAATTAATCTATATTATTATTTTGCCCTACTTGGTAATATTTGTAAGCATTTTTCAAGACTAGTTTTATGTATGCTTTTTATAATACTGGAAATGTTATACTGTATATGGGTTTATAAATGGTGAAACAGATACTGATTGAAAAAGCCACAGAGTGCGGTGAAACGTGTTTCAGAGGACTTTATATATAGTATTGAATTCTATTGTTTTTATTTATTTCAGTATACTTGATGTTATTTTGATTTACCTTGTCTGATGTACTTCGACTCTATCTGCTTCTATCTGATCTCTTGCAGTTCCTCACTCCTCCCCTGCGCGCCCTCTGTGATGCTGGGATATAAGATAATATGACGTCATTCCGGCCACGGCATATTAAACAGCGCGCTGGAGGAGTGAAAAACTGCAAGATTACACCACAGCCCAACACTGGACCCCTGGGAGAGGTAGGGAGGTTGGATTGGCCTAAAAAAATAACATTAACTTGTGAATATGTGTGTCTGTTAGGGAGTGAGTGTCTTTCAGTTAGTCACTGTCTGTGAGAGTGTGTATGTCTGTCGGTGCATGTGTCTGTCAGTGAGTGGGTGTGTATGTCTATTAGTGACACTGTGTTTCAAATCAGTGATATTGTGTGTCTGCCATTGAGAGTGTTTGTCTGTCATTGCAAGGACAATTAATTACAAATGTATGAGAGTCACCAAAATATCTTCACACATCGCATGCCATAAATAAGAAATACTTTGTAAAATAATATAACATTTTTATATATATATATATATATATATATTTTTTTTTTTTTAAATTTGTTTTTAGTTATTTGTAGGTTCATCGTAAGTTAAACAGTAAGACCCGCAGGTCTAATATTTTATACAACATTTGCATAACATAAACAAGGAAAACTTGTGATCCGTGAGAGAAATATACGTTTATTATGCCATTTGTCTGTCTCATAATCAGCCCGTCTGGCCTCGAACCTGGTTCCCCCAGGGGGGGAAAGGAAAGGGTTAGGAGCAGGGGGTAATGGGCAATCAGGATATGTGGGGTGTGATTCCTCCCGTAAGGCTTGCGTCAGTCGGTACCCCTGCTGTGTTTCCCGGTGCGTCTCCATCACGACGGTAACGGGAGATGTATAAGAACCATGGCATCCACAGCTCCGCATGCCTGGTTCCGCATCCTGTCAGGGTAGCATGTGCTTCTTCTGCTCCCCAAATATCTTCTACTCTACGAATCCACTCTTTTCTAATAGGTACTTCATTCTTTTTCCAGTGGGCTGGTATGTTGGCTTTGGCGGCATTAAGCAGGTGTCGTAATATTGAATATTGATCGTAATATTGATTTCTTGTACGACGATATGGGTTGTGTCGAGATGTGTAACAATGCCAATTCCGCATTCCACTCCAGTATGTCTCCCAGAATAAGCTTCACTGTGTTCCTAATCATTTCCCAATATGGGGTGATATCTCTGCACTTCCACCAGATGTGTAGCAACGTGCCGCGTCTTTCCTGGCACCTCCAGCACACCTGGGGAATTGATGGGAATATTCGGTGTAGTAAAGTTGGTGTTCTATACCATAGGGAGAGCAATTTGTAATTCATTTCCTGGTAATAGGAACTCATAGAGCTCTTATGCTGCCACAACATCGCTTTATCCCATTGCTGGGTTATGAGTAATTTTCTGAGTTGTTCCTCCCATTGCCGTTTAAACGTCATAGCTGTAGGCGTGCCTCCGATTAGTAGATGTTGATATAGTGCCGAAATTGCGTGTTCTAGTGAGGATGTAATCGATCTTTGTGTGGTAGTGATTCATAGAAATGTTTCAGTTATAGGTATCTAAAATGGAGGAGAGGGGTTCGTGGCCTGTCTCCTAATAGCGAGGGAAGATCCCGCAGTCTCCCATCCTCAAGGGTCTTATGTATGGGTATGAATGCACCAATACTCGGGATGGGCCATGCTCCAGAAGGGAGCCCTCCCCCTATGGCTTCATTATGCGTGATCAGCATCATTGGACTGGGTATGGGGGATATGTGGTCTTGTGTCCTCAGTGTCTTCCAACTATGTAAAGTCTGTAGGACCATCCCCTCATTGTCATTATGAGTTGTTTGTCTTCCAGATCTTCCCCAGATCTTCGCCTCCATTGCTGGTCCAATGAGGCCTCTGTCAAGCTCCACCCAGTGTTTAGTCATTTGTGCCAAGTGCCAGTTCAGTATACGTTGCATGATCGTTGCTTGATGATATTTCTTAAAATCAGGCAACACTAGCCCTCCGTAAATTCTAGGTCGGCATATGATGTCGTGTCGAGTCCTAGATCGTCTTCCTCGCCATATAAATCTAATCACCGCCGTTTTCAGGGCGGAGAAGAAGGTCGCCAGTATTGCGAGAGGTATAGTCTGCATGAGATATAGGATCCTCGGGAGTATATTCATTTTAATCACCGCGATTCTTCCATGCCATGTTACATGCGGATATGACCATCTGGACAGGTCTGCAAGGATGTTCTTTAATAAAGGTAAAGTTGTGTTGATATATATTTTTCGGGTCCGTGGTCACACAGATGCCCAGGTATTTCATCTTGCCGCGACACCAGTGGGATGCGAATTGCGATTCTAAAGACAGGAATTCCTCTGTGGGGAGTGTTATGTTCAAGACCTCACATTTCGAGATGTTAAGCTTGAATCCGGATATCTGTCCGAATCTATCAAATTCTGAAAGGAGACACGGCAGTGTGATTCTGGGGTTGTGGACAAAGAAAAGGAGGTCGTCCGCGTATGCAGCCACTTTATGTTGCACTCCCTGCCAGTCATATCCCTGTATGTCTGGATTTTGGTGGATTGCCTGTAACAGAGGCTCCAGGGTCAGCGCGAACAGCAACGGTGAGAGTGGGCATCCCTGTCGGGTTCCGTTGCTGATAGCGAAATCAGCGGTCGTGGCCCCATTATTCCTCACGGTTGTGTGCGGTCTGCTATACAGGGCAGATATCCACGTAAGGAGTCTCTGACCACAGCCCAGCCGTCTTAGTGTCGCCAGCATGTATGTCCAATTGACCCGGTCAAATGCTTTTTCCGCATCGGTTGATAGCAGTAGTAACCGGGTCCCCAATTTCCTTGCGTGGTGCTGGATAAAGAAGAGTCTTAGGGTGCTGTCTCTAGCTTCTGGACCTGGGATGAATCCCGTCTGGTCCGCGTGTATCAAATTGGGAAGGAGATGTTTAAGTCTGTTTGCTAGAACTTTCGTGAATAGTTTGGCGTCTACGTTTAACAATGCGATTGGGCGGTAACTGCTGCACTGTAACGGGTCCTTCTCTGGTTTAAGTAAAACTGTGATGGTGGCTGCTAGGGATTCCTTTCCCAGGTTCCCTCCCTCGCCTACAGCGTTGAGAGCCTTGCTCAGCCAAGGCAGCAATACTCCCAAGAAGCTTTTATAATCAACGTGGAGAAGCCATCTGAACCAGGAGCCTTGCCGGTTTTGGATGTCTTAAGGGCTGCGGCTTGTTCTTCCATGGTGATTGGTGTGTCCAATATTGATGCCGAGTCCTGGTCAATCGTGTTCGTGACCGTGTCAGACAGGAAGTCCTGTATCTTTACATGGTTCCTCGCGGCCTCGGTGTCCCCGTTAGGTGTGTACAGATTATAGAGGTTTTCGTAAAAAGTCCTAAACTCCCCTGCAATCTTCTGCGGGAAGGGAGAGACCTCCCCCGAGGCCAGGCGTATCTTACGCATTTGCCTATGGGGCAAGGGCCCTTCAGTAGTCTCGCTAGGTATTTACCTCCTTTATTAGCGTGTACATAATAAAAGCCTTTCGTGCATTGTACGGATCGGAGATGTCTTTTCATAATAAAGTCTTTAAGTTTTCTTCTGTGTTCCATTAGTTCTCTGTAGACTGCGTTTAGCTGGGAACGTTTATGTTGACGCTCTAGGGTCGAGATTGAGCTATATAAATCGATCATTTCAAGCATGAGCGCCTTCGCTTCTGCGAAGCAATGCGTATGAGTGTGCCGCAGATCACGCTCTTGTGAGCTTCACATACGGATATTGGGGAGATCTCCGGGGTGTCATTTTCTCTAAAGTATTGTTCTAATACTTGATGAATTTGTTCCTTGGTGTCCGGGTCTAGCAGTAGAGCTTCATTAAGTCTCCAGGTCCATGCCTTCGGTCTATACAGTGGGGAGTTCAGTTCCATCTCGACCGATCCATGGTCCAACCAAGTGGCCGGTGTGATCTCGGCTCCGAGTAGGTGGGAGAGACCTTCCTCTGCAATGAGGAGATAGTCTATGCGAGAGTAACGGTTGTGAAGGGCAGAATAGTAGGTGAAGTCTTTCACCGTGGGGTGAAGCGTTCTCCAACAGTCCACCAGTCTCAGAGCCTCCAGTTCTCGGATGGAACTGATACTGTGTTGTGGAAGACAACTATGACCCGTTGAGGAATCCAGTGTTGGGTCAAGCGGGGCGTTAAAGTCGCCTCCTACCAATAGTATCCCATCTGTGAAGTCTTCCAGTTGATGTAAAGTATTTCGGAGGAAAGGGGCCTGCCTCCGGTTGGGCAAATAGATGGTCGCTATTGTATATATCTTATCTGCTATGATGCCCTTAAGGAAGAGATATCTTCCCTGTGAGTCCTGTATTCGTTCTAATTCTTTAAATTCCAACTCAGCCGCTAGTATTATGGCTACTCCGGATTTATGGGCTGTTGAATGGTTGCAGAAGTAATTATTTGGATAATGACTATTCCGTAGTGTAGGGGTTGACCCTTCCTTGAAGTGTGTCTCTTGGAGCATAGCTATCGCTACATGTTTTTTCCTCAATTCTTGTAGCAAGTGTGTTCTACGTTCAGGGATGTTGAGTCCTCTGCAATTCTGTGTGATAATCTTCAAAGGTGCACTTCGGTAGGCCATGTTTTCTATGCGTGTTGGTTATGATTCCGGGCTAACATGGGGTCCGGGGGTTTCTCCGATCTTCCGGTAATTTCGGGGAGGTCACATGTCCGGGGTACTGGTTAGTCCGATGCGTGGAGGGATGTAAGGAAGGGGATGGGAGAGGGGGGAGGAGGGGTAATGGGGAGGGAAAGAGAGGGAGATGGGAGTTATAGCAGATGCTATGAGTAGGGAGTCCTGGGCCCGGTTACCTGGGTGCGGGGCCAGCTCTTTCGTGTAGAGTTTAAAAGGAGGTGTGTACCCTGTTTGTGGGTATCCTCACAGATTTCGGTTGTATCCCGAATCTAGACCCCCTCTAGGAAAGGAGGGGGGGTTCTCGCGCAGAAACCGGTGCCAGTAGGGGCTCGCTCCGGTACCAGCCCAGGTGTCGAGGGTCCCCGCCGTTCAGCCACACACCTTTTAGCATGAGTGTATGTGTTAGGGAATGCGACTCGAGCTCCACCCAGGTAAGGTATGAAAAATAGATATGGGGCTCTCCGCTCCACCGCATCCCCCAAGGTCAGAGCCGAATGGACAGTAACATCTTGTGTATAGCCCGCATTCGATCTAAAGGCATATAAGCATTAACATCAATTTAACATATTTATCATACAGTGAACCTAAAGTAGCATTCCTTTATCCAGTGGATTCCATCATTCCCCATTTCCCTCCCCAGTCAGTGGGTTCCCACCCAGCATCTGCCAGCTCCAATCGCCCCAATCCAACCCCTCGGCTCATTATGTCAGTGAGTGTTAGTCTCCCTTGATCCAATAGTGGTATAGTGCCCTGTTTTGTGGTCCCCTGTCTCATCCTATATCTTCCCTCTGGTCTCCTGATCTAGCAACTATTTATAGGTTACGTGTTACGAGCATTGTGTACTCCATTTATTGCTCCCGTCGGTCCCTATGGAGGGGGGGGGTACGTGTATGAGTGAAACCATGAATGCTTGTGTTCCATTGGGGTGGTTGCTGTTTTGGGCGTTTGTGTATGAATAGACAAGAAGATATAAATGATAGTTTGTGGCTTACGTGTGTCTAATCCATTATCTAGCTGAATGTATATATGTGGTAGCTATCAATGAGGCCTAGGTCATGTCGGGTATCAGTATGTTGTCCTACCCTAACAATCCCGATGTACCATGTCATTGAAAAGGTATAATGGGGCTCGGCCAGAGTGCTTCAAGTGTGCTTCTGCCGGGTGTGGGTCAGGCTGCGTCAGGGTTCATTTATGTACAACATTAATAATCAAGATTGTTTCCCTCCGCCTCCCCACCCCCTCCACCCCTCTCCCTCTCCGCAGTTCAGAGTCGTTGCGTCTAAGTACATGTGACCCAAATTAAAGTCCTCGTCTGCAATAAAGTGTCGCAGCGTTTGAGTTCAGGGTTTTCTTGGCTGGTTAATGGTTGCCCGGAGGGACTGCTGTATTCCCTTCCCGCTTCCCCCCTACACTCCCCACCCCAAGGTTGTGTCCGCTAGCCCCGTGTTGGATATTATCCAGGGTATAAAAATAGGGAGTCAATTGTATGTCCCGGATGCTTGCTCCATGTTTGTGTGACCCCCCTTTGTGTGCCCACAAGCCCGTGTTCCCCCCTCCCCAAGCCCCTATACGTTATCCCATTGTACCTGTTGGTGTACCGTACACCAATCCTGCTCATCTCGGACATCGGGAGGCAGGTGTGGATCACAAGTGTCCAGTTGCAGGGGTCAATCTCGCTGGGGTCAGCTTTGTTAGTTGGTGCCATTGGATGTCGGTGTGGGCTGGTTGCCGAGGAGTTTCGTGTGGCGGTCGTTGATGTGGGTGGGTAGATGCATTAATTCCTCCGGGGATGTCGGGTCTCCGCACCTTCCAGCGTGTTGAGCAGGAGGGGCCCTCACTTCCCATTGCCTGGGCCCTCTCTGTGGTCTCGATGGCGGGCCTAAAGATCCCAGTATCCGGTTGGGGACCGATGGTGAGGGGAGCCCAGTTCTCCCATAAACCGTGATACCTCTTCCATCCATCTCATGGTGATCCATCTATTCTGGTGTCTAGCCATCAAGGCAAAGGGGAGTTAAAGGCTCATGATCAGTTAAAGGGACACTATAGTTACCAGAACAACTACAGCTTATTGTATTTGTACTGGTGAGTAGAATCATTACCTTCAGGGTTTTTGCTGTAAACAATGTCTTTTCAGAGAAAACGCAGTGTTTAGATTACAGTTTAGTGATAACTTCACTGGCCACTCCTCAGATGTCTGTTAGAGATCCTTCCTGGGCCATGGCTGCCTAAAATGCATCTAAACATTCAGTGTCTTCACCCTCTGCATGCAGACACTAAACTTTCCTCATAGAGATTCATAGATTCAATTCAGCTCTATGAGGAGATGCTGATTGGCCAGGGCTGTGTTTGAATAATGCTGGCTCTGGCCCTGATCTGCCTCTTTGTCAATCTCAGCCAATCTTATGGGGAAGCATTGTGATTGGATCAGCAGGCAGTGGGCAAGTCTAAAGGAAACAGGTACAAAGCATGCAGCTGCAGACTTGAATACAAGTAAGATTTACTATATTTAGGGAGGCATGAGGGCACCTAGATGGTGGTTTTAACCCTTTATACATGTTTGTGTTCCTGACCCTATAGTGCTCCTTTAATATAGGGCATTTGATTATCAGCACCTGTCTGCTACTTAGCCTCTTAAACGTTTTTCATACATGGCTTCTCCATTTTGGCTTTATTTGTGTAAAATAAATCATGACACGGTGTAATATGTCACGTGTTGTTCATCTGAGGTTGTATTTATATAATTTTAAGACCTGCTAAGGAACAGATGATTGTTATTATATTGTGATATGTAAAACCATAGAATTTAGAATTCAAAGAAGGTGTACTTTCTTTTTCCCATGACTGTATATATAGATATAGAGCATTTCTTGGTAGTCTGGTGGTAGTGTTGTGGCAGAGTGTGGGGATATTTATGGGATAATAATAGTAAACAGTTGAGAATTGCCCACTAATTCAATTCTCAGATCCCAAAGAACGTTTATCGTAAGTGAGTGGAATATATTTCATATAAATAATATCTCAATTTTATAAAAATAGATTTTATTTTTAATAACAAATTAATTAATAATAACATGTAACATGCATGACAATAATCAATGAATATCCAGTATAAAATGGTATGCAATACAAAGGAATGGGTATTACGTTTCAATGGCTAAAACAGCATTTTCTGTCAAGTCTTACACGATTTATGAGGTATCCTTACAGACTGAAAGGAAAACTTTTCACAGCGAAAAAGTTTCACTCAGAGAACAGAATTCTTCAGAGTGCAGCGTAAGGTCGTAAAGTTTAGCTGACAGTTAGAATAACCCTTTCAATCCTGGCTAGATCTCCTAAGTAATTAAGATCTATTCTTATGTAATTTTAATTAAAATAACATTTAAACCAGTTCATTAGTCATTTCCTGG